TTCAGGGGCCACCTTCCTCCAAAGGGGACCTGTGCAGTTTAATTGCATGTTTATGAGATTCACTGGAAGGCAAGCAGGCAGGCAGGCAGGTCCTCAAACACTGACATTTAAACAAACAAAAGACACCTGCTTAATGAGAGCATCTCATTGTTCTGTGGTCTGCAGCTGAGCCGTTGGTCCTGGTGACAACATGAGCGCTCTTAATTCTTATATGGGCTCTGGAGGTATAGAAAAAAAAAGTTTATAGGTCAGCTTGCTGGATATGATATATTGCTGCGTTAGGGCTCTGTTGCAGAATGGGCTGTTTTCAAAGTAGGGCAGGAGAGATGCTATAATGTGGTTTTGGGAAAAAATCCCAGGAATACTCTGACCATAATATAGCATTTCACTGATATTTCCTCTCTGTAGAGTTTTAAGAGCAGAACTGTGAAATGTTCTGGGGTGTACCTGATGTAGGTGGGTGCCTGGGCTATAGGTCTGTGATAATGAAAATACTATCATGATCCGTGTTTGAAGAAAGACCCTTCTTTTTTTTCAAGGACTTACAGAAATTTACAGCAGGAAGGACACTGGCTCTGAGGTCAGAGGGTCTGGGTTCAAATCCCACCTCTGATCCTCTTTATGTGACTTTGGACAAGTCATTTAACCTCCCTGTGCCTCAGTTTCCCCATCTGTAAAATGAGGCTATTGGACTAAATGGCTTTTGGGACTCCTTTCAGTTCTAAACCTATGATCCTATGGAAAGTTGGTACATGCATTTCTTCCTAATCAGCTTAGGCCAGGTGAGGGAGAGGGAAGAGGAGGGGGCTGTCCACCCCCTTCCTCCCTTGTCCCCCTTCTCCAGAATCTCCTCAGGCAGCCCATGGGTCATTCATCGCTCCCTGGGGCCCCCAATCACTGTGGGGTAGGGGAGATGACACTTATATTTGAAGCGAAGGGTGGGACAAATACTTATTTTTGATGTTTCCTTTAAAGGTTCCTGAGCTATCTGGCTAAAAACATTTCTTACACTTGTTACTATGGAAACAAAGGACACATTTTGACCTTTGTCGCAGTACCAGGTGCACATTTTACACACTGGTGAACGGAGTTACTTGACATTCCTGTAAAATCTATCCTGGGTGGTTGACTCCCATGGGGTCTATTGTGCGTGTTGCTGAGGGTTGGTGCTCTTATCTGTGATTAGTTGGCTAGCCAATCTGATAAACAGATACACGAAAAAGTGTAAATACCCTCTCCCACATTTGCTTTTTTTTTTAGGCTATCGGGGTTAAGTGACTTGCCTAGGGTCACAGAGCTAGTAAGTGTAAAGTGTTTGGTCTGCGGTCACATTTGAACTCAGGTCCTCCTGATTTCATGGCCAGTGCTCTATCCACTGTGCCACCTAGCTGTCCCCCACATTTGTTTTTAAGAATGCTTATGTCCAAAGGAGAGAGTAAGTGGGATTTTAAAACACAGAAGCACATTTGGGGTTGGGGGTGAGGGAGACACTGTCTAGATAAGGAATTATTTGACTTACTGATTCTCAAGGCCCAGTATGTGAGACTATGCAGACATCTGAGGACCACCTGGTCCCTGTGCATTCCTGATGGTGCTATCACGGAGCCGAAAGATGGGATAGGACAAAGTAATTCTCAATCTAAAATAAAGAGGACTGGAGGCAGCTGGATGGCTCTGGAGTCTGAGTTCAAATCAGGTCCTCAGAACTTACTAATTGTGTGATCCTAGGCGAATTATTTACCTCTGTTTGCCTTAATCTGCTGGAGAATGAAATGGCAAACCTCTCCAGCATCCTTGCCAAGGAAACCCCATTAACAGTAGGGTCCACGGGGTCAAGAAGTGTCAGACATGACTGAACAACATTATAATACCAAAGTAGCAACAAGAAAGGTCTTTACTGGAGGCAAAGGAATTATAATTTGGGATACCAAGCATCATCTAAGTACTGGAGTGCCTGTGAGGAACAGAAGGAGCAGGGTTTAAATACACTTCAGCAGGAAGGGAGGGAGGGAGTCCCTGGAAGGCACAGCCTTTCCAAGCTGCTACTTAAGTTGTTTTGCAAAATAGCCCAAAGTCTGAAAGTCTGTAGAGAAGGCTGGGGAGGCTGGAAGAACGGTGACATTTGGTCAGAACAGTGGGCTCCGTGTGCAGCAGCAGGGAGTTTCCAGAGAGACCATAATATCAACTCCAGCTGGTTCCAACCTGTTCTACTCATGGGGTCAGGGTCAGGCAGCCCCTCTGATGGCTATATTCAACACAGTTCTTTGTGCTTTTTTCCCCCCCCTTCCCAAGCAGATATCCACAAAGCTCGGTTGGGAACTGTGGTTATGTCTTCCCTCTGGCTTCATTCTTGCGATATCCTGTCCCCTCAAGTTCCTACAGGGGAATATTAGCAATTGTCTGGGTGATGATTTCTTTCTCAAGTCTTGACCCAAGAGACTATAACAGCAAGAACCTTCAAATGGGAGATTATGGGAGGCCCCAGGCTTAGTTAGACAGGACCTGGGTTAGTTACTTCCCTTGCTTCCCCGAATCTCTGTATCCACATCTGTACATTGAGAAGGATGAAGCAATATAGTCTCTTAATTGCCTAATATGATTTCCATGGAACCACACATATTTCTAGACTAGATAGTTCTGCCATTCTTTGACTCTGTGTGATATACCAGCCATCCTTACGTGCTTCTTAAAAAACTAGATTATATAGATAATAGCATATATATATGTATTACATTTACATAGCTAGGTGCTTTTACAAACATCCCAATCCTTACAGCAACCCTGGGAGATAGATGTTATTGTTATTTCCATTTTACAGATGAGGAACCGGAGGCAGGAGGAGGTTAAATGACTTACCCAGGGTCACACAGCTCATATGTGCTTGAGTCTGCGTGAATTCAGGGCTTCCTGACTCCAGGCCCAGCACCTAGCTGCCCCAGAGATTTAAACCTCAAGAGTTGTTGTTTCGCTTTCGTTTCTCGAAGACATAAGGAGGGTGATGTCTTGACTTGAAAATGAATTAGATTTTGATGCATATCAGCTTGGTTATTTCTTTTTTATTGGGAGAGAAGGAGAGAAAGAGAGGTTCAAGAAATAACCTAAATTATTAATGGATCTTAAACTTAGACTTAATTTTTTTTATAGTAAGCTAAACGTACAATCCATTAGTCTGCAATAGAATAACACACGAAGTTTGGAAGCAGAATAACTGAAATAGTCCCCCCACTTCCCATGTCCTGGCCTGTGTTTTAAAGAGCACTTAGTCACTTGTTTTACATAAATGTAATTGATCATTCTTAAGATCCTCTTGGGGATGGTGAGGTAGAGTGAGTGGTCAGTAAGACTCCTTTCCTCACTAAGGTATTTTTAAGATATTTAATTATGTCATGCTAATGCACTTGTAGACTTGGGCAATTATTTTATCTTAAGATTTTATGTTCATTTTGATGTTTCCCTACCCTTCTTAATAGAATGCTCTGGAAGATGTCAGATGTAGGCACTGGGCCCAGAAAAGTCTGAAAATGTCTATGTTATCTACAGAACAGAGAGAATAAGGTTTGCCTACTGATTTGTCTGGTTCTTTCACTTTTTCTTATGGGGCTGAGAGGTTTATGGAACATAAAATCCTGAAACTCTCTCTGAGGTAGGAAGAAAGTATTCTGGGAGGTGGAAATCATGATGTAACTTCATAGAAATTATCCCATTCCTAGTTTCTTGAGTTGTCCTGATTCCTAGAGAGGGCTTCCTTGCAAAGAGGTCCAGTTAGCATTTCTAAAGGGAACTGTTCTTTTGATTGGATGATACTTGCCAATGCTGCATCATTCTCCATATGTTTCACCAGTGATATTTAACTATTGGCTAATGTTCAGTATCGCCCAGATGATATCTGACATTGATTTGGCTAATATCCAATGTAAACTAAAATTTAAGAATAACCCTTCCCCTTACCTCTTCTTTTGAGCATTTTAATTTACTAGATTAAAGTAAAGTGGTTCCTAGCCTTATATTTTCTCCGGGGAGAGAGTATGTGTGTATACATAGACATGCCACATATATTACATACAAAATATTGTAGTCATTGCCAGCCTGGCAAAACCCAGTTCTATAAAGTGATGGTCATCACCATAGCATGCAATGGCAACTCTGGAAATGAAAGAGACACAAAGATAGGGGAGTGGTTAGGAAGGAGGAGGAGGGGCTGGTAATTTGAAAGCAGAGTTGAAAAGTCCTGTCTAAGAATGATGAACTAATGATATAAATAAAAATAGCTTTGTGTGGGTCCTAATTGTATTGCGCCCTTCCCCTCACCCAAACTTTGATATATGGTACCCCATTAATGGGAAGCGCACAGCTATTTTTCCCCTTTAGATCAGAATGTTTCATCTAAGCTGTTGGCAGCACACGCCATCAAGTCTGAGCATAGAGATATGGCCGCTGCCAGGTTTATATTGCCTGCCAGCGGGAACATTGATGGAGTGAAGGTTTGAAATGACTATAATTTGTTGCCTTCCAGTTCTCAAGTGCATCAGTCTTGCCTCTTCTAGCCTTTTCTCATCTTCTCCCTAACCCCCAGACGAAGTTAAAAAAACATTTTTTTTAAAGATACAGCTCACCAAGAATGAAAATATTGAAATACTCCCCTAAATTATCAGAGACTATATATTTATGTGCCTTTCCCTCCCAACTCCAAAATAAAGACTCATTTACAAAATATTTCTCTTGCAGTTAAATTTTATGTCATCTTTTTGGTTATAAATTATCAGCCACAAATCATCACCTTGACTAAAGTGTCACCTTATGGCAACTAGATCAGCCTGTACAATGCAAAGCTGACTTCTAATTAGTTTGTTCTGGAGTTTCCGAGCTGAGGATTTACCTAGTAAACTCTAAAAATCTAAACGAGTTTGGTGAATAATCAAAAGATCTTTGTTTTTCTTTTGTATGTGTATGTTGTTTCTCCTTCTCCGTCCTCTTTTCCTACCCCTTTTCTCTTCTCACAGCTGTGTAATGGAGGCTCTGTCACGGATCTTGTCAAAGGCCTACTGAAGTGTGGTCAACGGTTGGATGAAGCTATAATCTCCTACATCTTGTATGGGGCGCTTTTGGTAAGGATGCCTATGAAGCAGAGCAGATCATGAGAGCACAGGGTGCAACTTGCCATCCCTGTTTTCCATGTATACGATGAAAATACAACAATACTGTATTATATGGAAATACAACAATACTCTTGGTTGAGGGGGCCAGTTGAGGAGGAAGGAAGGGGAGGGGTAACTTCCAAGTGATCCCCCAGACAGATATTTGTTTAGTTCAAGTGCAGACTGTCTTCATTAGATTTTTTTTTAATAGCAGGATAATTGTTTTCAAATAAGAGCACTAACTTTTTTCCTTTGGTGACTGCCGTTTGACATGCAGGGTCTTCAGCACTTGCACAACAATAGGATTATTCACCGTGACGTCAAGGGGAACAACATTCTTCTGACAACAGAAGGAGGAGTTAAGCTCGTTGACTTTGGTAATGACTGTTTGCCATTTGTTTTCTTGACTGTCTCTGTCTAGCCAGAGGCTGCAATTTATTGTCTTCTTACTGGGGGCCTTGCTGCAGCACCACAGGCTGTGAGGGGCTTTTCCAGTTGAAAGCATGGCTCCACGGGCTGCACAGTGGAGGGGGAGCAGATGGAGCACCCTAGGAGATGCTGTCATGGCCTCTAGTTGGGGGTTTTAAAGCATTTCCTATTAACAATAAAAATGTTACCCCAAAAAACCTTTTAGTAAAAAAAAAATGGTTGGTATTCTAGTAAGAGTACTCTGTGTCTGAGGGCAATTGCCTTTAATTTGATTTTTGACATTCCTTCTTTTGCATATGAAAAGAAAAAGCCATTTGGTCTCTCACACGACTTTTGGTTGCTTCAGGCACATTTATTCCCAGTGAGCAGAAGGTAAAATGGTCCTGTGGTTCTGAGAGCTAACTTCCATTTAAATTATGATTATTGCTGTTGCATGTGAGGTTGGTTAAACTGGAAACATTAGTATGAAGTAGAAATGGTGAGAGGAAATATATACTGATCTATATTCCCACAGATCTTTTCAGCATCTCCTCGGGAAATACGTTTACAAGGATAGGCCAACAGGCCCTAGAAACAGCATGGTGTAGCTGATAGAATACCGTACTTGAAGTCAGTAAAATTTGTGTTCAGATCCTGCCTCTGACACTTAGTAGCTTTGTGAGCCTGGACACATCAGTGTATTTCTATTTACTTGAGAATATTCCATAGGACTTATCTACTAAGTAACAGATGAGTTGTCATCTTCTTTGGTGGAGAAAGTTCCCACACCTGGAGTTCTCCATGGTAATCACAGATTATCCATGTAAACAAGCATGCCATCTGATGTTTTTATTGTTTATTGTTGACATTTTATTATTGTTTTTTGTCAATTAGTTGTGTCTGACTCTTCACAACTCCATTTGGGATTTTCTTGTTAAAGATACTGGGGTGATTTGCCATTTTCTTCTCCAGCTCATTTGACAGATGAGGAAACTGAGGCAAACAGGGTTAAGTGACCTGCCCAGGGTCACATAGCTAAATGAGCTAGTATTTGATTGAACTCAGGCTCTCTTGGCTCCAGGGTCAGTACTCTATCCACTGTGCCACCTAGCTGCCCGAAGGGTTGGTTATATTCCAAATAGAAAAAAACAAAAACCTGGTACTAAGCAACCTCAAGAATCCACTAGTTTAAAAAAAAAGAAAAGAAAAGAAAAATGCAGCACTTTTATCTTTATATATTTATTTACAAAATGTCAAATATAAAACCAAAAAGAAGATTTTTTAAACAGTTCTATTAGGATATTTGCCTAGAAGTATTAGTCGTTTTAATAATAGAAAGGAAGCCAGGAGAATGAGATCCTTAAATGAGTTAAATGACTAATTTGTGCAAAAAAAAATTCATTTGAAAATAGATCATGAAACTGGTTGGGGTTGCTTTAGTTTTCTTTATTTGCTAGTGAGAGAATAGGAGAGAACAGAAGGCAGCATTGAGCAATCATGACCCAGACTGGAGTGGATCCTACGACATCAAGGCCAGAGTCAGAACTAGGGTTGGATAACTGGAGCTTTGCTCCAGGGAGCCAAATTTAAGGAATGCTGGAGTCCTTCAGCAGAATAGAAACAACTGAGCTTAGTGTTAAGTTAGAAAGAATGATTAATTCAAATAGGAAACTATCAGATGACGGCTGCCAGGGACCTCTCTAGCAAAGGACTAACGTTGAGGTTGCACAGTTTCCCCTAAACTTCTTCCCTGCTGAGGAAATGCTTCCAGCCTCGTTCTCTGGACGAGATTTTCGGTACTTGTCTTGTGCACAAAGAGCCCTAATTATGTGCCTGATCAAGCCACTTGGCAAAATGTCTTCCAGTGGATAGTCAGTGATCTCTCCTAGGCTGAAAGTGCAGTGGTCACTAACAGGCCCAATCCCACTACTGAATGGCGGGGTGGCTTTGCCTTGATTTGTTTCCTGCCTGATCTGATTTGCTCCTCCTTACTCAGCCTCTATCATTCCCCACTCCAGCACACCATATTGGTGCTGGCCTCCATGCACACACCAATGGCTTAGCCCATTGCAGCTCAGAACACCCAACTAGGTGGAGCAGTGGATAGAGTTTAGGGCCTGGAGTCAAGAAGACCTGAGTGTTCACGTCTAGCTTACTGGCTTACACTTACTGGCTGTGTGACCCTGGGCAAGTCACTTAATTTCTGTTTGCCTCAGTTTCTTCATCTGTAAAATGGGGATAATAATAGCACCCACCTTCCAAGGTTGTCGTGAGGAACAATGAGACAATATTTGTAAAGCACTTAGCACGATGCATTCACAGTAAGCACATAGAAACGTTAGCTATTGTTACTATTATTGTTATTATCCTTGGCCTCCCCACCAGCAGGGGATTATAGGCATTCTCACCATTCTCAGTTTTTCCTTCACTTCTATACTGCCCCCCCAACCCTCCATTTTAAAATGTTTGATTGAGTTGACCTGAGTTATTTTACCTGGTTATTCACCAACCAGTTTGGTTAAAAATCAACAAATATTCACTGGATTAACCATTCGCACAAGTTGGGTGTGCAAATAGGGAAAAAGAACACATTAAGAGCTCATGGTAACCTACTGACTACCAAGCATGTGCCTGATTTCCCTGACCCTAAGGGAAGGCAAGCCAGGTCTGGATGTGACCTGGAATAATCCCACGATTTCCTGGCTCTGGTAGGGAATAATGGCTTCCTGGTTAAAGTCCAGATCAATGTTCATTTGAAATGCAGTGCTTATGGGATTAGATTGTTAGGATAAAGGAGGCAAATGGGACCCTACTCCACAAGCATCAATCAACTTTATATAAGCAACTCCACTTTACTACATAAGCATCCCTTTCTAAAGGCAAACATCTGCCTTCCATATGTTGGGATGTACCAAATGGAATTGCTTCAGCAAAGGTGAAACCTCTAGGTCTGGCTCTTAGTAGGTCAGAGATTTAGCATTAGAAGGAGAAAACCAAGACTTAGAAATTCTATGATTTTTTCAAGATCACCCAGGTAGAAAGGGGAAAAGCTGGGCTTTTGAGCCCCTCCCCCCTTCAGAAAATTCATCGTTCCTGAGGGTCACATGGTTAGTGCTTTTTCAATCAAAACCAAACTTGATTGGAAGGAGTTTGTATGTGAAGAGGGCTCCATGACATTAAAAAAGTTTAAGTTCACCCTGATCCAGTCCATTATCCTCATTGTATTTATTTATTTATTTTCAGCTTCCTCATTTTATAGATGAGGAAGCGGAGACTCAGTGGGGATACTTAGCTTACCCAAGATCACACAGGTCATAAGGGACAGAGCAGGGATTCCTACTTGGAGCGGTGACCCCAAACCCAGAAATTTCCCCATTGTACCTCACTGCTAGTTTTTGGTTGCCCCATCTATGAGAATGAAGACAATCCCATGATAGGCCATGCTTCCAGTCCGTAGTCATGTTTGTGGCCAAAACATACTCCTCTCTAGTGAATTAACTAAAACTGAAAACCGCGTGAAACAGCATCACTGGCTCACTGCCATTTTCCATCACTTACTTTATTTTAGGTGTTTCAGCTCAGCTAACCAGCACACGTCTACGAAGAAACACTTCAGTTGGCACACCATTTTGGATGGCTCCTGAAGTAAGTGATGTGTGTCTAGACTATGTCACTGGGGGTTTCTGCGTGCTAACGCAGTGTCTTGGTGGTATATTCTTCTGTAAAGTGTCAAGGGAATAACATAGGAAGGAGAACATTGGTTATTGTTGTTTTTTTTTCCCTGGCTATATAGTGATAGTCATTGTCATTGCTTAGTCAAGCATGGTTAGATAGCAGTTTATCTGGAAAAAGTGTGGCATAGTGAAAACACTATTTGATTTGAAGTCAGAGGACCTGAGTTTAAATCCTATTTCTTATACTTACTACGTGTCTGACCTTGGGAAAATCAGTTAACCTCTCTGGGCCTCAGTGTCCTCATCTGTAAAATAAAGGGGTTTGACTAGTTCCATTCCAGATCTAAAACTATGATCTTGGGAGTTTTAGAGGACTACAACCTTAGTACGAGTTAGCAGTGCAATGTGATATCTGAAAAAGCAAATGTAATCTTGGGCTGAATTAGGAGTGAGTCAGTTTAGACAGTCAATTAACATTTATTTTTATTTAGTTGTTTTTCAATTGTGTCTGACACTTTGTGATCCTATTTGGGATTATCTTAGCAAAGATACTGGAGTGGTTTGCCATTTCCTTCTCCAGTTCATTTTACAGATGAGGAAACTGAGTCAAACAGGGTTAAGTAAGTGGCTCAGGGTCACGCAGATAGTAAGTGTTTGAGGCCAGTTTTGAACTTAGGAAGATGGGTCTTCCTGACTCCAGGCCCACATTCCATGCACTATAGTGCCACCTAGCTTCTCTAGCATTTAATAAATACTTACTAGGTGCCAGCAGCCATAACTAAGTTCTAGGGACACAAATAAACGCAAAAACCAGATCCTTCTCAAAGAGACCACATGTAACCAAATATATACAAACGAGCTATGTACAGGATGCATTTGAAATAATCAACAGAAGGAAGACTCTAGCATTAAGGGAGGTGAGAAAAAACTTCCTGTAGAAGGTGAGATTTTAGCTGGCACTTGAAGGAACAGGAAACCCAAGAAGAGGGTCATGTGTTTCAGGAACAGGAAGGTGATAATTTTACTATTTGCAGCTAAGTGGCACAATGGATAGGACACCAGGCCTGGAGCCCGCGAAAGACTCCTCTTCCTGAGTCCAGATCAGGTCTTAGACACTTACTAGCTGCATGACTATGGGCAAGTCACTTACTCCGTTTGCCTCAGTTTACTCATCTGTAAAGTGAACTGGAGAAGGGAATGGCAAACTACTCTAGTATCTCTGCCAAGAAATGGGTCACGAAGAGTCGTACACAACTGAACAACAACAAATTTTACTCTATTCCATCTTTGTCAGATCATATCTGGAGTATTGTTTTCAGTTTATTTGCCACCATTAAGGAAGGATATTGATAAACTAGAGGGGGATGGTGAAAGGCCTTCAGTCTATGTTGTATGAGAATCAGTTGGAGGAATTGGAGATGTTAAGTGTGGAAAAGAGATGACTGAAGAGTTAATGGTAGCTGTTTTTAAATTTGTGAAGGGGGGCAGCTAGGTGGCGCAGTGGATAGAGCATCGGCTCTGAGTTCAAATCTGGCCTCAGACACACAACACTAGCTGTGTGACCCTAGTCAAGTCACTTAACCCTATTGCCTAGCCAAAAAAAAAACATTGTGAAGGGTTATCAGATGGAAGAGAGAGTAGACTTGTTCTGTTTGGCCCCAGAAAATAGAACCAGGAACAGTGAAAGGAAGTTGTCAAGAGGCAAATTTAAGCTTGATAGCAGGAAAAACTTCTTAACAGAGAGGTCCCCAAGTGGAATGGGTGGACTCAAGCACTCACTGGAGGTGTTCAGGCAGAAGCTGGATTACTGCTTGTCCATTTGTTTATAGTGGGGATTCCTGTTGTGTGTAGGTTACACTAGAAGGCTAGAGGTCCCGTCTCACTCTAAAATTCTGTGACTTTGTTCTCTGCTACCTGGCATACAATCACTCCTCTTGCGCTCTGCGGTTGTGGTGGTTTTTACTACTATTATTTTGACAAAATGAAGGCCTGGGCCCGATTCAGTCCCGGTGCCATCTAAAACCAGTTTACAGGACCTACTGTGACATGACGCATGTGGTGGTTTGGGAAGTCTTCCAGCTAGATAATAGCATGCTCTGAAGCAAGAATATCTAGTCAAGTGAACGTTTAATTTGTGCAACATCCTGCCATAAACATGACTGTGCCTCCGGGATGGTACAAAGTGGCCTCTTTAATAAAAGGACTAAAGTATGGAAGATGTGCCAAAGGGATTAGGAGGAATTTGGGGGCAGTGAGAGAAGGGCTCTTCCTTCCTCCGGTTTAAGACTAGCGGGTCTCTTCTTTAAGGAAAAGCATAATTGAGGTCACTGCACTCTTCTCCATGGTGGAACAGCAGTGTGCTGTGCAAGGTCCTGTTCACATCACAAGGAGCAGCAAGATGGTGGCCTCAGAATCAGCAAGTGTAATTAAAAGAAACCTACCCTGAGTTTTGCACTTTTCCAAAAGGTGTTTGGAATAAGAAGAAAAAAAAATTTTTTCCCACCTTTCCAACTGTAGTAGCTGTATTGAACAAAATAGGTACAGTATTTCTTTAGGGGGTAGTTTCGTGGTCTAATAGTGAGCTTTTAATATCCAGATTCCCTGGAACTGGTTCAGATCTCAGCAGGGTCAAGTCAACTCTCCATCCTGCTGAGGTGGATAAATTGAGTAGAGGCAGTTTACTGTGCGGGAGTCCCCTGGATGTGCCTTGGAAAGGCCGACTGGCTGACTGCTCTACATGCAGGCGCCAAAGATTCCATCACAGACATTGAGATCTGCTCTGTGGCCCTTCCTGCAATCCCTGGGATTTAGCTAAAAGCCCAGGACTACCAAGCATCATTTCACTCCTAGTGTTTATTGTCCAAACGAAAACTATATTTAGCTAATACAATGATGGAAGCCTACGTCCAGTGTTCTTCTCCTTTTGCATCATCCACAATAACAAATTAAAATATTAGACATTAAATATTTAATTGGTAATGATTCAAAATGAGGGTATTAATTGTGGAGTCATGAGAAGAACACAGACCTGAGTCTGAATCTTGGCTCTGACACTTAGTAGATATGTGACTATGGTCAAGCCACTTTATACCTCTAGGTCCCTGTTTCCTCATTTTGAAAATGAAGGGAGGAGGTGGAGGAGGTGAAAAATACATAAATTTTGAAAAAAACAAAAGAAAGGGGTTGAACTAGATGATGGTCTCAACCAGTTCTGAAATCTTAATGCTAAATCAATATTCTTTCCTACTAATGGACAATAGGAGGTGAAGGTTCATACAGTAATTTTACTATGTTCTCACTTTTGATTATGGGCATATTTGAATATGGGCAGCTAGGTGGTACAGTGGCTAGAGCTCTGGGCTCAGGGTCAGGAAGACTCATCTTCTTGAGTCCAAATATGGCTGTAGACACTTACTGTATGACCCTGGGCAAGTCACTTAACCCTGTTTGCCTCAGTTTCCTCATCTGTCAAATGAACTGGAGAAGGGAACAGTATCTTTATGAAGAACTCCAGTATCTTTGTGAAGAAAACTCCAAATGGAGTCATGAAGAGTTGGACCCAACAGAAAATGACTGAACAACAAAATATTTGAATAAGGACCCTTTGCTAGAATACTACAATCACACACACTACTAAAAGCAACACCAATTATTGATTTGTATATATTTAAAAGAGGACAATATTACTACTGTTGGTTATTAGTCATTAAGCCTATTTTTATTTAGAGAGATTTAAATATATTCTTAATTATTTTTTTTTACTACTTTGATTTTCCTCCTCATTTCAAAAGCATCAGCAACTGAGATTTCTAATTTAAAACGTGCTGCTCCCCAAACTAAATAGCTAAGTGAATGTGACCCTCCTCAGATTAAATACTGGCTAGCTGTCAAGGAGCACAGTTCTTCCAGACAGTGCAAAGTAGCAACATAAATTAACTGTCTCTTCAACACTGCCCATTCATTCTCACTAACTTCTTGATTGAAGCTACTAAATGTTGTAGAATAGAAACTGTCAGTCAAGCAGAACAGTAGAAGAAATATGATAAGGCATGACTGACTAAGTGGAAACTCTATACATAGAATTGTCATAGGATTCTCAGATGCTTTTGTGCTACCTGGACTTTTGGGAGAGGTAAGAGAACAAGATACGTTGTGGCTGTTGTTCAGCCTTTGTTCTTGAAGAGACCTGTGACATCAGGAAGAAGATGCCGTGACTTGCAGGTGAATTGGATGTAAGTGAAGCAGGGCTGTGCAAAGTCACCAGTCTCACTCTCCGCCGCGGTCATCTGGGTCCAGTGGCCAGATATAGATCAGGATGACTGGAGATGACCCCGAACAAGATACATGTAGAACAGATGAAAAATAACCTTAGAGGGAAAAGAACTAGCAGCTGGGGCTGGGGGGGGGAGGGAAAGGCTAGAGATGCCAATGGGAAGATTAATAAATATAACAAAAGAAAGTTTTCAATGATGGGTACAAATGGAAAGAAGAGCTAACATTTCCCAGTCAGGGTTGGAAGAGAAGGCCTGAGAGAGGGAAAGGCTTGGTCAGAGCCCATGTGGCCAGAATAGAAAAAATCCCATCTCAGATAGCCCCAGGGGTTAACATTGCTGCCATAGGCTACCCATACCTAAGTCTGCCCACCCCTTCATTCCCCCCTCGCTTTATAGATGGGGAAACCAAGGCCCAGAGAGTCAAATATGGAAAATAAAGACTAGTTATAATTGCAGTAGTTTACATTTGTATAGTGTTTTAAGGTTTACACAGAATGATTTCCTTACAACACTGTAAGACAGGTAGTACAAGTATTATTATCACCATTTTACAGATGGGGAAACTGAGGCTGAGTGGTGAAGTAACTTCCTCAGTGCCACTCAGCTAATAAGCATGAACAGACTAGATGAATTCTCAGGTCTGTGCCAGCATAAAATTCTATGACACTATGATTCCTCATATTGTGATGAAGCTATT